GTACCAGATTCATCGAGAAACAGCAGATCAAGTGGTTTGGCTATCTTGTTAGAATGCCGCAAGATCAAATACCATCACAGGCACTACATCTCAGAAGATCAGATACATGAGCAAGAGGACGGCCGCGGAAAATATGGATCGATAACATTAAAGACACTCTACGCCTTCACGGCATGACAATATCCAGTGACAGCCAACGTGCACTGGATCGCAAATTATTCCTCCCCACGGCGCTTAACGGCAGAAGTGGTTTATGATGATGATGACGATGAATCCTTTTGTTACTCTATGCTAGGGGTCACTAGGCGGTCAAACCGTTTGCCTTGCGTTTGCCCAAACGGTTTATGTCTTCAGTTTTTAAAGATATCCCATTATATCGACAAGCAGCGTCCATGGCTTAGGCGTTGCGAGTCCAGCTCGTAATTCCAACATACCGCGATCGAAACCCACTGCTGGCTGCATGAATTTTCATCATTGTTTGGAACGTTGCAGGTCGACCTAGCCTAAAATGGGTACCAGGATGGCTGTCCTGTGAAAGTAAAGATTGGCCAGCTTAATGCTGACCACATTACCCACCTAGTGCTGATTGGTCTGTAAAAATATGGGTGCTATTCCCATATGCTCGATACGCCTAAAAGGCGTGAAAAGGGATCTTTACTTCTTTACATTATATCGACGCCGAAGCTTCGGAGCTCGTACCTTTTCTTTGACAATCTTGGTAGACGGCTTACCGTTCCCATATGGCAGTAATGATAGCTTTTACACGGCAGGTTGGGAAACCCACTCCTCCGCGTCGACTCAAATTATTCCAAGCTTTTAGCTGATCTTATCACCAACATCACCAGTAGCGTTCCGATTGATCTGAAACAGTGTTCCTTAACCTGTTTATAGCGGCGCGCCAAACAAAACAGGTGAACATGTTTCACATACAGCTAACAAACTGCAAAAAAAAAAAAAAATGCCCAATAATGCCTTTATCATACCACAAATGTGGTGTAGACGGGAAAGAGGGGAGGGGGGGGGGAGTCTTAGAGTAAAAAGATTTACGGCTTCATGGCCAGTGCTGACGCCACAACTGTACGGGTGAGGATTTATTTTGTCCCTTATGGAAAAAGAAATCCCCAGCCTTACCAAGGATTCGAGCCCGGGTCTCCCGCTTAAAAGCCTAGCGTTCTAACTGTTCGATTAGTCGCTCCTGTCTAATCAAATACATAAACAAAATCTTGACTCTACTTGAGTTGTTTGATTGTTCTTACTCCCAGTTCAGACTGGACTGCAGATTATGCAAGTGTCGAGTGCTAAAATACGACTGTACTATGCGGTTAAACAAGGGTTTCAGAGATTTGTACCTGTGTTATTCTCGTCCTTGAAGTATTAAATCTTACAGACAGCTATTGTGAATTAGAAAAACAATCCAACCCATCCTGTTACAGGATTAGGCATCACCACGACAATATGTTTGGAGCTTTTAGAGGTTTGGAGTACATATCGGTTTGAGGCGTAGATTTTTTATATTCTTCTTCTCAGGTTGTGTTTTTTTACCTTCCACTAATACAACATCCCCCTTGGGCTTTGCTTCTAATACGGAGAGAAAGAGGGGAAGGCTGGAAGGATTAGCACTGCAGAAATCCAAGATATTTTGACCCTGTGGTCGAAAACGCAAGAAGTTGTGGGAAGTGGCACCCTGGTTGAATCCTAACTAACTGGGATGCCGCATTCGATTCCAGCTGCGAGCGAGTTGAAAGCACATCGCCTTGAAGTGAGTTTATTAGTGGTATCTAGAGCAGATCGTTCAGTAAGCAGTGGCAAACTACTGCTCGTAAAATGACCTAATAAAATCTGGAAAAACATATTTCAAAAATTCTGACTTTGATTCTGCAACGTCTTGTAAAGGACGTGTAACTAACGTTTTCTGTTAACATCAGAAGGGACAACGGTGGCATTATACAGCAGCCTGGCTAATCGCGAATTCCTCTTCTGGACCTTAATCTTGTTCCTGAAACTTGAGTATATCGTGCACATCCGTTTTACCGATCTGTCTTAGTTGTGTGCAGACTGTTGGTTCCTTGTCTAGTAGGCAGATGCATTCCAACTTCACAGGAGAGCCCTAAGTAGTCGGCGTTTACGATGTACTTGTTAGGGAGGCAGTAGGTCAATTCTTATTCTGTATTGGGCCTCAGAACATATATGGGGAATAGGAAAAGTAGTTTGCATTGCTTGAGAAGACTGATCAACAACATATCATGGAATATTTTGAATAGGATATGCGGGTGAAGGGGGTAACTAGGAAGCTGAAAGATTGGCTGCTGTCGCGTAACCAGGCCAGTTTATTTTAAGCGTGTTCTGCGCCCTAGCTAGGTTGGTTAAACCAGCTGCGCGGCGACAGGAGGACAAACTCCTTGTGGTCCAAGTTTACTCTCGGGGGTAGGAAGAAAAGCCACAGATTTCCCGTATTTAAGGCATATATCATGCAATCAAAGGCCAAGGATTGTTGATATCCATCGTACCGAGCCAAAAGGTTTACAATTCATGGTTTCTGGATCACAAAAATTAGTAAAGCTTACATGATGAAGGCTGCCTGGGTTCAAGGGGACAATGCTATAGAACAATCTGTTTATTTATACAGAATAATGAATCAGCTAGAAGTGAGCATAGGGCTTTCACAATATTCAACGCGAAGGGGGCAGTCAAACATAGTTGTAATCATGTTGTAACTGGCACTATCGATATGAGACCGCTTCGTTGGCATCCAGAAATGGCATAGAGCACGCGTGGTTATGCGAGGTTGATTTATTTATTCAGAACAGTAACTGCAACAGCCGAGCCAGAGAAGGAGAGTACGTTTTCTCAAACCCAACAACACGTAAATTATTTCTTACGACACACAGCAGCCACGGCGTCTGACGTTACTGCCATTTGTCTGACTAACAGATCTCCGCCATGCCTGTTTTCATTACTCATAAATGTATACTCGTAGCCATGAAAAAAGTACCTATGTATTCACGTCTGCTGTAGTGTATTCTTGCGCAAGCAGTCACATAAATAATTATATCCTTCCGATCTCGATTTTATGGTTTATAGCGATATTCAGATAATGTCGTCCTCAAACTTTCTGCTTTATAAGTCGGAAGTATAGCGTCTGTGATTATTTTGAACATCTTCTTCAGCATTGCGAGTCACTGCTGCATAAGACTGTAGGTCCGCTTGGATTTTATCTCTCCACTGTCCTCTTGGTCTGCCTCGTAGTCTGCAGGTATTCACTCCCCTTGTGTACCCAGCTTTCACCTCTGTTTCATATGTTACTCTCTCTCTCCCCCTCTCCATCACATAATACTTACTTGCATACATACATACACATTTACGTACATACACACACATACATACATACAATCCTACCTACCTATCTATCTACATACAAACATACACTACATACATTACATACATATATTACATACATACATATATTACATAAAAGGTTGTTGCGTATCCTTTACAGGACGTTGCAGAACCAACCCTAACAGCCCCTGGCTGTTGTGTGGTTTCTCTAGGCAAATTACGTCCAGTAGTTTGCCATTGCTTTCTGGACGGTCGGCTTTCTTGATACCACTGCCCGCAGCTGGGATCGAACCCGGCATCCCGGCATTACGAAGCGAAGTGTTCGCATCGACCTAGCCACAGAGCCGATATATATATTACATACATACATTAAAAACATTAAATAATAATTACATACAAACATTATATACATACATACACACACACACACACACACACACACGCACGTACATACACGCCAAATTCTCGTACAGAATGAACAGAAAACATTAAATAAAAATGTGAGCTGAATGCATTAATACTAACTCCTAGAGAGAGCCAAGACAGATTGAGAGATATATATATATGAACAAAGAGAAGAGGGATGATCAGAAAAAATATGGAATAATGACATATTGAACTATGGTTGTAAAAAGGAAGACCAGCTTACACAATGCATTAAAAGGAACATACATATATCTTCTGCAAACATTTATGTGTGGTAACTGGAGAAAGGATTGATTTGTGGAGGAGGGGCGGTAAGGGTAGGAGGATGGGGAACAGGACGAGAAAGGGTGAAAGGAAGAGGAGAAAGGAAAAGGAGAAAACAAAGAAGAAGAAGAAGAAGAAGAAGAAGAAGAAGAAGAAGAAGAAGAAGAAGAAGAAGAAGAAGAAGAAGAAGAAGAAGAAGAAGAAGAAGAAGAAGAAGAACAACAACAACAACAACAACAACAACAACAACAACAACAACAACAACAACAACAACAACAACAACAACAACAACAACAACAACAACAACAACAACAACAACAACAACAACAAGAGTAAAGAAGAAGAATGTCAAAAAGAGAAAAGAAGAAGAAGAAGAAGAAGAAGAAGAAGAAGAAGAAGAAGAAGAAGAAAAAGAAGAAGAAGAAGAAGAAGAAGAAAAAGAAAAAGAAGAAGAAGAAAAGAAAAGAAGAAGAAGAAGAAGAAGAAGAAGAAGAAGAAGAAGAAGAAGAAGAAGAAGAAGAAGAAGAAGAAGAAGAAGAAGAAGAAGAAGAAGAAGAAGAAGAAGAAGAAGAAGAAGAAGAAAAAGAAAAAAAAAAAGAAGAAGAAGAAGAAGAAGAAGAAAAAGAAGAAGAAGAAGAAGAAGAAGAAGAAGAAGAAGAAGAAGAAGAAGAAGAAGAAGAAGAAGAAGAAGAAGAAGAAGAAGAAGAAAAAAAAACAAAGAAGAAGAAGAAGAAGAAAAAACAAAGAAGAAGAAGAAGAAGAAGCAGCATCAGCAGAAGAAAAAGAAAAAGAAGAAGAAGAAGAAGAAGAAGATGATGATGATGAAGAAGAAAGAAGAAGAGGAGGAGGAGGAAGAAGAAAACACCTACTTTAATAGGCATAGAGAAGCTGCAGCAGCAGCAGAAGAAAAAAGAATGATAATGATAGTCTTTGTGATGATGATACGAAGAAGAAGGAGGAAAAAAGACACCTACCTTTACAGGCACACAGAAGCACAGCAGTGCCAGGTCAGCAGAAGCCAGACTCGTCAGGAAGATGTTGGTGATCGACCTCAGTCTCCTGTCCCTGGCCACAGCCACAATGACCAGCAGGTTACCCACAACCCCCACAACCAGCGTCAAACCGTAGACCATTGAGACAGGCAGCAGCTCGTCTAACGGCAGAGATGTGTCAGCAGTGCTGTAATCATAGTCATCATCAGCAGAACTGTTGTAGTGGTTGCTGTAGTTGCTGAAGCTGGTGATGTTGCTGAAGATGTTGTAATCGCTGTTGATGTCGTCGTCATTACTAACCTCAGAAGAAAACATATCGATGTCCATTTTGTCAAAGAATTTTCAAGAACAAAAGTTGTTGAATCGGTCAGTACTATCCCAGTGGACGACTATCTACTTGTGCTTTTGAGCCATTGATTTGTTTACGAGTCAGTTCCATAGATAGTTGTCTTTCTGTCCGTTGTTTAACTCTCGTTGTTGTGTCAGCTTACTGCTGCCGAGAATAAAAACATAATTTGGTAATAATTCCGGATTTTCAACCACATCATTTAGCATTACTGCTGACCCATTGGGATATCCAATCATTTATTCACACTTGACCTATCCTACATCGAATCTTTAGTCAGACTGTGTGTGTGTCTTTCTTATTTTCTATGGGGCTGCGTTGATACGGACAACAATCAAGCACATGATTTAAGATGTCGATTGAATGACGTTCAACGCCACCTGGACTGCACAACTAGCGATGAACATCCGGTGACACAAAGTGCCACCACTAGGGTGAGAATCGCCCAAGTAAAAACTATACAGACCTCCATTTAACTGTAGTGTTGTATTAGGACACCCGACTACAGCCGAGGTGGGGGCTTTTAAATAACAAACAAATGTCACCTTATTTAACATTTCTATAGTCCTTTCTCTTTTACACTGTACACAAGTAAATTAGAATTTCCCTAGTCCTTTCTCTTTTACACTGTACACAAGTAAATTAGAATTTCCCTAGTCCTTTCTCTTTTACACTGTACACACGTAAATTAGAATTTCCCTAGTCCTTTCTCTTTTACACTGTACACACGTAAATTAGAATTTCCCTAGTCCTTTCTCTTTTACACTGTACACAAGTAAATTAGAATTTCCTTAGTCCTTTCTCTTCTACACTATACACACGTAAATTAGAATTTCCTTAGTCCTTTCTCTTTTACACTGTACACACGTAAATTAGAATTTCCTTAGTCCTTTCTCTTCTACACTGTACAGATGTAAATTATAATTTCTTTAATCTGTTCTTTTCTGAAACAGTAGAGATGTAAATTTGAATTTCTTAAATCTCTTCTCTTCTAAACTGTACAGATGTAAATTTGAATGTCTTTAGTCCTTTCTGTTCTAAACTTTACAGATGTCAATAAGAATTTCTTTAGTATTTTCTCTTCTAAACTGTACAGATGTAAATTAGAATGTCTGTAGTCTTTTCTGTTCTAAATTTTACAGATGTAAATGAGAATTTTTTTTAGTCCCTTCTCTTCTAAACTGTACAGATGTAAATAAGAATTTTTGTAGTATTTTCTATTCTAAACTGTGCAGGTGTAAATAAGAATTTCTTCAGTATTTTCTATTCTAAACTGTGCAGGTGTAAATAAGAATTTCTTCAGTATTTTCTATTCTAAACTGTGCAGATGTAAATAAGAATTTCTTTAATATTTTCTGTTCTAAACTGTTCAGGTGTAAATAAGAATTTCTTTAATATTTTCTATTCTAAACTGTGCAGATGTAAATAAGAATTTCTTTATTATTTTCTATTCTAAACTGTGCAGGTGTAAATAAGAATTTCTTTAATATTTTCTATTCTAAACTGTGCAGGTGTAAATAAGAATTTCTTTAATATTTTCTATTCTAAACTGTGCAGATGTAAATAAGAATTTCTTTAGTATTTTCTATTCTAAACTGTGCAGGTGTAAATAAGAATTTCTTTAGTATTTTCTATTCTAAACTGTGCAGGTGTAAATAAGAATTTCTTTAATATTTTCTATTCTAAACTGTGCAGGTGTAAAAAAGAATTTCTTTAATATTTTCTATTCTAAACTGTGCAGATGTAAATAATAATTTCTTTAGTATTTTCTATTCTAAACTGTGCAGGTGTAAATAAGAATTTCTTTAGTATTTTCTATTCTAAACTGTGCAGGTGTAAATAAGAATTTCTTTAATATTTTCTATTCTAAACGGTGCAGGTGTAAATAAGAATTTCTTTAGTATTTTCTATTCTAAACTGTGCAGGTGTGAATAAGAATTTCTTTAGTATTTTCTATTCTAAACTGTGCAGGTGTCAATAAGAATTTCTTTAGTATTTTCTATTCTAAACTGTGCAGGTGTAAATAAGAATTTCTTTAGTATTTTCTATTCTAAACTGTGCAGGTGTAAATAAGAATTTCTTTAGTATTTTCTATTCTAAACTGTGCAGGTGTAAATAAGAATTTCTTTAGTATTTTCTATTCTAAACTGTGCAGATGTAAATAAGAATTTCTTTAATATTTTCTATTCTAAACTGTGCAGGTGTAAATAAGAATTTCTTTAGTATTTTCTATTCTAAACTGTGCAGGTGTAAATAAGAATTTCTTTAATATTTTCTATTCTAAACTTTGCAGGTGTAAATAAGAGTTTCTTCAGTATTTTCTATTCTAAACTGTGCAGGTGTAAATAAGAATTTCTGTAGTATTTTCTATTCTAAACTGTGCAGATGTAAATAAGAATTTCTTTAATATTTTCTATTCTAAACTGTGCAGGTGTAAATAAGAATTTCTTTAGTATTTTCTATTCTAAACTGTGCAGATGTAAATAAGAATTTCTTTAATATTTTCTATTCTAAACTGTGCAGGTGTAAATAAGAATTTCTTTAGTATTTTCTATTCTAAACTGTGCAGATGTAAATAAGAATTTCTTTAATATTTTCTATTCTAAACTGTGCAGGTGTAAATAAGAGTTTCTTCAGTATTTTCTATTCTAAACTGTGCAGGTGTAAATAAGAATTTCTTTAATATTTTCTATTCTAAACTGTGCAGGTGTAAATAAGAATTTCTTCAGTATTTTCTATTCTAAACTGTGCAGGTGTAAATATGAGTTTCTTCAGTATTTTCTATTCTAAACTGTGCAGGTGTAAATAAGAATTTCTTTAGTATTTTCTATTCTAAACTGCATTGATGTAGTCCTCTCTATTCTAAACTGTTGTTAGCCACAGCACCACAGTGTAAGGTACTCACTTAACCTGGCCAAGGCTGTCTCCATCTGACAGGCCAAGCTGCTGACGTCACAAAACCGCTCTAACGATTCCTTAGCGGGTTGCTAAGTTGAAACATATTAACTTTTTGGATATTGAACGAGGTATCTAGAATTTGGTCTGTTCGTTTGCCATTCTGGACGTGATTCAGCAGTGATAAAACTGTCAGGCGTAGCGGGCATATAGGGCTAGACTTGTATTTTACAGACAAATGTGCACTCTTGTTGGCCCAACTTCGCTTCTCAGGACTTGACCATTTAAGGCTGTGTCGATCTAGGAGCCATGGTCATTTTTTTTTTAAAGAAAACAAAATAGGCTCCGCCAGGACCAGTACCTACGACCCTCGGATGCACAGGCAAGCGCCTAGCTGCTACACTACGGCAGCGCCCCAAACTGACAAGCAGCAACCGTAAATATAACAGGCAGCAACCGTAAATATAACAGGCAGCAACCGTAGATATAACAGGCAGCAACCATAAATATAACAGGCAACAACCGTAAATATAACAGGCAGCAACCGTAAATATAACAGGCAGCAACCGTAAATATAACAGGCAGCAACCATAAATATAACAGGCAGCAACCGTAAATATAACAGGCAGAAACCGTAAATATAACAGGCAGCAACCATAAATATAACAGGCAGCAACCATAAATATAACAGGCAGCAACCGTAAATATAACAGGCAGCAACCGTAGATATAACAGGCAGCAACCATAAATATAACAGGCAACAACCGTAAATATAACAGGCAGCAACCGTAAATATAACAGGCAGCAACCGTAAATATAACAGGCAGCAACCATAAATATAACAGGCAGCAACCGTAAATATAACAGGCAGAAACCGTAAATATAACAGGCAGCAACCGTAAATATAACAGGCAGCAACCATAAATATAACAGGCAGCAACCGTAAATATAACAGGCAGCAACCGTAAATATAACAGGCAGAAACCGTAAATATAACAGGCAGCAACCATAAATATAACAGGCAGCAACCGTAAATATAACAGGCAGCAACCGTAAATATGACAGGCAGCAACCATAAATATGACAGGCAGCAACCATAAATATGACAGGCAGCAACCATAAATATAACAGGCAGCAACCGTAAATATAATAGGCAGCAACCGTAAATATAATAGGCAGCAACCGTAAATATAACAGGCAGCAACCGTAAATATAACAGGCAGCAACCGTAAATATAACAGGCAGCAACCGTAAATATAACAGGCAGCAACCGTAAATATAACAGGCAGCAACCGTAAATATAACAGGCAGCAACCGTAAATATAACAGGCAGCAACCGTAAATATAACAGGCAGCAACCATAAATATAACAGGCAGCAACCATAAATATAACAGGCAGCAACCGTAAATATAACAGGCAGCAACTGTAGATATAACAGGCAGCAACCATAAATATAACAGGCAGCAACCATAAATATAAGAGGCAGCAACCGTAAATATAACAGGCAGCAACCGTAAATATAACAGGCAGCAACCGTAAATATAACAGGCAGCAACCATAAATATAACAGGCAGCAACCGTAAATATAACAGACAGAAACCGTAAATATAACAGGCAGCAACCATAAATATAACAGGCAGCAACCATAAATATAACTGGCAGCAGCCGTAAATATAACAGGCAGCAACCGTAAATATAACAGGCAGCAACCATAAATATAACAGGCAGCAACCATAAATATAACAGGCAGCAACCGTAAATATAACAGGCAGCAACCGTAAATATAACAGGCAGCAACCATAAATATAACAGGCAGCACCGTAAATATAACAGGCAGCAACCGTAAATGTAACAGGCAGCAACCGTAAATATAACAGGCAGCAACCATAAATATAACAGGCAGCAACCGTAAATATAACAGGCAGAAACCGTAAATATAACAGGC